TCCTTGTAAGACCAGGAATATTTTGAATACAAATGTCATGTATTTTGCACAAAAATAACATATTTACTCAGAGTAAACATTATATCAAAAATTTGTATGTCTAATGCAAAATCTATGATGTTTATATTCAAAATGATCATCATATTGTAAAAATTCCAGCAATGTAAATTATATTCTGGCCGGGTAATTTGTATGAATTTATGAGCTAAAACAGGCAGGGTGGCAGGTGGGGCCGAATCTAAAATAGCTCGAGCGGACACTCTAGATAATCGGAAAAAACCCGTTAAGTGAAAAGTTCGCCTGAGGCAATCATTATAACGTGAAATCGCTACTAAGTGAAACCTGTACAGTATATGTAAAATGTAAAGTTTTAAATAAGAGAAAACAAAATACATAGCGTTTTAGACCCGCTCTGTTTACTCCACACTTTGTTTGAAACACGAAGTTTTAAGTGTCCTCAGTGAATTCTGATTACTGTTTCTCCACTTTGTGACTATGGAAAAGAAGAATATCTCTGGGGAGCACTCTGTGATCGATTTCCGTGGTGATCGTAAAAGAAAGGCTATAACACTTGAAGAAAAGCTTGATGTTTCATGACTCCTCAGCCTCAACATCACCCTTATCCCCCATCAAGTTATATTCATATTTTTCAAGGTAAAGTGTAACATTTACTGTATGATTTCATTATTAGATATGAATGTAACATTTATTTAGACTGTGCTATCCTTTGTGTTAGGCTAACTACAAATTTTTTTTCGATTGGAGTAATCTGCATCTAATCCTATTTTCTCCATAACCCTGTTATTTCTATTACACAATTTCTATAACACGATGTTTTACAAGAACACTACTATCGCTATAGCAGAACTACCTGTATGTGGAATACTATATACGTATATATACACTTTTACTCTTAAATCACTACTGTAATGTGATACACGTGATTAATTTTTATCTCTTGTGCAAAATACATGACGTTTATATTAAAATTATTCACTGTTTTACAAGGATTCCAGCAACGCCAGCAGATGGGGGAGAGAGAGGGTGGGAGCGAGCGAGGGGGCGTGGGGGAAGGGGAGGTAGTACGTTTGACAGTTGGCACAGGCCCAGGTCTAACGTGTGTATATTTATCAGTTCTTAGGTGACTAAGCTTCTCTCTTATAAAAAGCCAGTGAAATGACCTGGGTGAATATAATTAACATAGCTGGGATTCTTGTAACATACTGATTAATTATAATATAAACATGCTATAATTTGCACTAGACAAAACAATTTTAGTACCGTAATCAAATTAGTACGTGTGCACTCCAACTTTGCACTAAGAAATCTATGTAAATGTACCCAAAAATACAGTTGAAAAACTTTTTTATAAAATGTACTACAGTACTGTACACTAATGTACAACAGTTTTTATCTCTTGAGCAAAATATATGACGTTTATATTCAAATTATTGGCTGTCTTGCAAGGATTTCAGCAATGCAAATTATAATCTCCTAACTTTAGTCTGAGATATTATATAAGATAAAACCTGTAAGCCTAAAAGGCTGGGAGGGCGGGAGGGAGGGAGGGACGGACGGAGCCAGCCAGTCCGCGAGGGGTTGGGGGGGTGGGGGGGTCGAGGTGATAAGTTTGAGGCGAAGGTCTCTGTGTGTTTATTTAACAGTCCTACTAAGCTTCTCTTATTTTAAAATGTCAGTGATATGACCTAGGAGAATATAATTAACATAGCTGGGATCCTTGTAAGACACTGATTTATTTGAATATAAACATGTTGTAATTCGCACTAGACATAACAATTTTAGTCCCGTAATCAAATTAGTACATGTGCACTCCAGCTTTGCACTAATTTATTTTATGTTTATTTTAGTATGGTGTGTGAATGTAAATGGGTGAAAATAAATGAAGAAATTTATGTAAATCCTCCCAAAAATAAAGTTGAAAAACTTTTTATAAAATGTACTACAGTATTGTACACTAATGTACTACATTTTTTATATCTTGAGCAAAATATATGACGTTTATATTCAAATTATTCTCTGTCTTGCAAGGATTTCAGCAATGCAATTTATATTATCGTAACTTTAGTCTGAGATATTATATAAAATAAACATAAAGAAATCACCAATCTTTTATCTTGAACACGGGGGTGGTGGGAAGAGTGGGAGGGAGGTGAGGTTGTGGGGTGTTTGGCTCTCGCTCAGGATGGGATGGAGAAAGGAAACTCACAATGTGCTCTCATGTATACATGTTGTATTGGATGTACAATGCAGCTTGGTGCTTGGAAGGCAGCATGGTTACAAGCGTGATGTAGAGAGAGCTGGTTGGTGAGGGTGCTCAGAGGAGGACCAGCCTGTGGGTCGCCATGCTCGCCGGCGGGAGCGAGGACCGCCAGGCAGGCGGAGGAGGATGAGGTGTTGCTGGCTGGTTGGTGTAGGTAGAAAGAGACAGGTCACCACGAGGTCAGGTCTTAAATAGCGGGGGGTAGGTGTGGCTTAGTAGTTGACCCCCGCTCCGTGATGTATGGCGGCACTGGTTGACCTAGACCACGAGGCATACACTGGGGAATTGGTGGGGTCGGCTACTCAGTGACAAACAGCGTTTGTAGGGGAGAAATCCACTACAAGGTGGCAGAATGTCTGGCGTTTGTTTGTTTATTTATTTGAGATAAGATTTGACCGTTGGCGCTGAAGGCCTGCCTGCGTGTTTATTTATCATTACTTAAGAGTGACTAAGCCCTTCTCATAATTTTCCACCCAAACGACCTGGGTGAATATAACTTACATTGGAGGGATTCTTGTAAGATAGTAATTTATTTGAATGTTTTTTTTTTCATTTTAAATTTTAATTGTTTATTCCTTGATAGAGGAAGCGGGATCCTAGTGCTGTCACTTGGTACCCCTGTACCATAACACCAGAAGCAACTGGCCAGTGTCACAAGTATATACAGTACAGTCATCCCTTGGTTATCACGCCTAATTGGGACTCCGCCGATAACGAAAGTACAGAACCTATGGGATTTATTCTAATTGGTTCAGACACCCATTTTACGACCATTTAGACCCACTAAATATATACTGTATATAATGTTATGGTAAATATCATAAACACACATAGGCATGGCTAGGTTATTACAAAGTGATGAAAAGGGTACGCTTAATACTGTAGTCCACAAAACATGTAGCTATGCTTTTTTTTATTTGGTCCCCCGTCATATGAGTCCGTTTTCTCTCACATCAGGACGCCTGAGTCCTCCGTTTTCTCTCTTAATCTTAGAGTGCACCAGAAACTTTACTATTTTTAGTAATGCCACAGAATTTGAAATTGCAACCCCAATTGCAACTTGCAATTGTTGCGGCAACTAGATATGTCTGATTACAGCAATTGTGTTATCGTCAATTTGTAGGTGAAAGATTTTATCCTCAATAGATGTAGGTTAACATTTGATCTGTAGGCAAATGCTTAGAAAAGCCTAAATAAGGAAGCATATTCTTTTAACACATAATATCTGACCAGTATGGGGAGGATCATCTTGTCTCCGTCAGATGGTAGTGGAGTGGTGGTCCAGCAGGCGTCACGTGTTTTTTTTTGGGGGGCCACATACGTATATGCGATCGGACGTTGTTCGGTCGGACGTTAACCAGCGCATGACTGTATATATGATTGTATGCATGACTGTATGTGTGTGTACACACACACACTCAAAACACATACAAATAAATAACAATTGGAAAATCCTCTCACAAATAATCAGAAACAAATATATATTAATATACAGTGGTCTCTCCATTAACGAACACAATTCGTTCCAGAAGGTCGTTCGTTAACCGAAAATTTCGTTAACTGAAACCATTGTTTCAATGGAATTTTGGGTAATTGGTTCCAGCTCACCGAAAATTACATACAAAGTAAAAATAAATGCAGTAAAGTACATTTACTTTGAGGTGTGCATGTAGAAGGCTCTTGGTTGATGATGATGATGATGGGAATTAGAATGGGGGTGGAGGAGAAGGGAGAAGAGAAGGAAGTGGGGGTGGAAGAGAAGTCACCCCATGCTGCCATTTCACCCATAAAATTTTAGTTCACTTGGTGTAATTCAAGATTATTTTCTGTAAATCAACACTGCACTGCATTATATATTGTCAATATGTAAAATAAACTTCAGAATGACCAATAATTGTACTGTAAAAATGTAAAAATAGTTTATGTTCAAGAGAGTCTCAAGCAAGAAGCTTCCTCCACTGAGCAGGGACATACACTGACGCTATTTTGGGTGAATCAAGTGGCTGTTTGGTGCGCTAAAACCTAGTTCCCTGTACTTCAATTACGTTAAATAATTGTTAAAATTACTAAAAACTTTAACATAAAACTTGGAAAATTATTGAATAGTACAACCTTCTTGATATTTACTCGAATAGTAAGGAATTTAAGCCCTAAAACCGATTACTGTATTGGCAGACTAATACTGCAGCTGGTGAGCAGGCAAAAGCAGGCGAAAACATGTTGGGAAAAATTCCTTAGGAATTCGTTAACCGAAATTTTTTCGTTAACCGAAGTGAAGAATCTTATGGAAGGTAATTCGTTAACCGAAATTTAGTTAAGCCGAGGCGTTCGTTAACCAATGGATCACTGTATATTTGTTTCTGATTATTTGTGAGAGGATTTTCCAATTATTATTTACCTGTATTTGTATGATTTGTGTGTGCGTGTGTACACACACACACACACACATATATATACAATACTGTACAGGTAAAAGAAATAATTGTCTTAAGGGCAAACACATAAAGGGAATATACATTTCTTTGTACACAGGTAAAAATGTAACCCCACCCCCCGGTAAGCAAATGTTATTCGCGGCCATTTTGAGAAACTAACCACCGTGAATTTGAAAGGCCTACTGTACAGCAAAGTTCTGCCAACCATAATCTATTGACTGCTGCACCTAATGTGGACAGTGAGAAGTATTGCCTAGACTCTATCTTGATTCTCTATACTTCAGATACAAAAGATGCCGTACCACCATGTCCGGCTGCAAGAAATATTTAATTTCAGCATTTATCCATCTTTTAACGGTAAGAAAAATTAAGATTTACATTGAATTAGATTGTGTTAGGGTTAGGTTTAGTTTGGTTAGGTTTGGTTGTGCAGTATTCAATTGTATTCAATAAAAGCTTTATGCACTGTACTTTAACCTATATGCCCACTTTTTGGTTAGATTACCTGTTGTTATGAAAATCCTCTAAAATTTCATCATGAAATCTCCTTTAAAGTTGTGACAATCTTCAAATCATTTCTTATACAGTACTGTAATATGGTTTATTTTTACCTAACCTAAGTAAATTAGACTGAATCTTATAAAATTTATAGAAATAAATTTTTACCTCACAGTATTTAGGCCCAGGTGAATGGTGATATACTAGTAAACATTATCATTAGGAAATTTTAAAACTTTAAATGCTCTACATCATCATCATTACCTTACTATACTGTACAGCAAATTTCCTCGGTTGCGTGGGTTAGCCTAAATCATTATGGTTATTGCACTTTTTAGTTATGAATACAGTACCGTTTGAACCTCGATTTAACGGCATCAACGGGACCTGGGCTGTGTCATTAAATCGGAGTATGGGGGGGGGGGTGTCACTGACGAAACCATTGCATCAAGCTACCAAGATTTATCATATTTGTCATAATATTTTAGATTAGAAATGATGAATGTTTCAGAGATGGCATTGATGTTTATATGGAATAAGTTTTTTGTAATAACAATAAATAAAAAAATAATAACATTTCAACGTATAATTCAAGTCTGAGTATATAAACACACACACATTTACTTCTCATGGGATTATAGTCTACCCTTGTAAAAACATTTTCTCTAATACATTGCAGAGCAAAAGAATAAAAATTACAATACTGTACTTTAATGTGACTTAGAAATAAAAAAGATTTAATATAAAACTATAAAAATAAGAAAACTGAAGTGCATGGGTGTGTATGTGTGGGAAGTGAACACAAGTGTTGAGGGAGTGAGTACTGAGCTGTAACTGCGTCTTGACTCGGCAGTCTCCACCCACCCGGCTTCTTCCCCAAATGTGACATCACACCATACTGATACACACACACACACACATTTTGGAGTCAGCTGTTGACTGTCCAGCTGATCTGTGTTGCATGATGGCTCGATTTGGCTAAGTTTGCACTTAAACAACTGTTGAGTGAATAAACCAGGGCATATGGAGATGCATTATACTGTACACTACAATAATATTTATTAAGTGCTGATAAATATGTTACAATATTATTTACTAGTGCCCAAGACAGATCCTGTGGTAAGCAGGTAGTAGAGGAACTAGTGTAAATTATGGGTGCCCCCAAGATCTATATATTTTGCCATTAAATGCGAATTGCCAGTAAATCCAGTGCTGTTTAAACAGTGCTGAAGAAACCAGTGCATCAAGTACTTTTCTAAATCTATGAGTTTTCCTAATTTTTCGTGTACCTAAGTTTTTCTATTCCCTTCTTTGTCACTTTTCACATAGTACTTAAAGGAGTTCATCTTTCTGCTTCTTTATATCATAAATTGTTGAGGAACCGACACCATAGATTTCATAAAGTTGATGAACAGACACTGTATGGTCTAGTTTCTGTAATATTTCAACCTTCTCCACAATGTTCAGGGAAACTTTTCTTCTTGGGTCACTAGCAACTCCAGTAGGGTTTTTGGGCCATAATTGATGCACAGAAAGTAGAAATTTAAGGCAATCACACGAGCACAGCACCGGCTGGACTTCAATGCCAAAACAAACTGACCACAGTGCCGTGAGAGCGTTGCAACAGGTAGAGGAACTAGTGGAAATTATGGGCGGGCCTTTGAAATTCACGATCTCTAAATTTTGTTCATTAAATGAGAGTTGCCATCAAATCGAGGTTCAACCTGTAGAGGTTTACCTGTACGTGATATACAGAATACATCGTATTAGTTACACATTGCATCACATGATCAGAAGTACCAACCTTACAAATGAAGACCCAGGGGTGCAGAAAATTTTTTGTTGACTCCTACAACCCAATCCTATGCAGTACAGTACATAAGACACTCCAGGCAATGCTGTAGGAGGGTAGATCAAGATTTCATATGCTGTGGTTACTGAGCTGCTATACTTATTTAACTTATGATGTTTTAGTAAACTAAAGCTCACACTTCATTTCAGATGAACCATTTTGGTATAAATTAGTGTCCTTAGTTGCCTCACATTAATATTCGGTTTGTTTCATACCTCTGCTATTTTCAGTCTGGTGTTTCTACAAAGCTATAAATTCTATTGTATAAATGGTTGTCTCAAGGTTATCATGGGTATGCAAAAAGTAAAACAAAGGATGGCTACTTAACACAGTGCACTGCTTAAAATATTTATTTAATGTGTGATGTCGCTCTAGCTGATGATGTGATGGACTGGAGAAATTATGTGCTTGATGGATTGTTACACGGCTATGTAGGCACACAGCATTAGTTGTAACTCCCAGATTAATCAATGAGTAATTTTGGAATTTTATTAAGGTTGTGGTAGAATTTTACTCCTTTTCCCATGTTACAGGTTGGGAATGTCTCTTGCTAGACTTCAGTTTTTATTTCCATCTGGGTCTAGTGATGTGATATTTCAATGAACTTAGGGGAACACTTTCTATCTCAACTCAGTTATTTTGTTTCATAATAAGGTTCTGTTGTATGGCCAGGTTAGAGAAAAATTTTAAATAAAGTCCTGTCTTGCCTCCTCCTGGGAGTATCCCCGTAGGTGGCTGATTGTCCCAATTTAAAGAAATCTAGGCTCAGGCTCAATGGGCCTTAAATAGTGTGTAAAAGCTTACATTGGAAGATGAGAATACAGTACCACCCAAAATACTGTACTAGGAACTGAATAAAAAACACTGACATCATAAAAGACTGTGTAACTGCAGTGTTGCATAAGAATATGATTCAAAGGTCTGGTATCAGCAGTAGCACTTGTTATTTTCATGTCTTCTGTTACTAACTGACATTTACTACAAAAGTCACTCTTGAGTGGCAACTGGTCATAATTGGAAAATTACTGTTGAAATGCCATTCTCTGACATTGCATACAAAGATTGGCTTTGAGCCCTCCCTTCTCACCAGGATGTTCTCCTCTCTGGTCGCTGCATATGAGGTTGGTATTAACTCTGGCCAGACTAGAACACCTGGAGAGCTGATTGCCCTGAAACTTTGTCAGCTGTGACTTCTGGTCTCCCTTTATTAGATCATTACCGTTGCTGGAGAATAGGGCTCATAATTGGATTAGTTCAGCCACTTTGGCATAGAGTTCACTGGGTTTGTAACCTTTAGGCTCTGGTGGGCTTGTTTCAGGAGCCACTCTCTCCAGGCTCAGTCATAGAATGGGATTTCAAGATCGTTTCAATTTTTTTATGTTCTTTATTGTTTACTTACTCAGAATGTAATACATATATACTACATGATGTGGTTTCTTCACAGGTGATTCGCTTTGGCCACGATTGGGACCCAACTTGCATGAAGATGGATGAGGTTCTTTACAATATTGCTGAAAAAGTTAAAAACTTTGCCGTTATATACTTGGTGGACATTACTGAAGTTCCTGATTTTAATAAGATGTACGAGTTGTACGACCCTTGCACGTGTATGTTCTTCTTCAGGAACAAACACATCATGATTGATCTGGGTACTGGTAACAACAACAAGATCAATTGGGCTTTGGAAGACAAGCAGGAGATGATTGACATCGTGGAAACAGTGTACCGGGGAGCAAGAAAAGGAAGAGGTTTAGTGGTGTCACCAAAAGATTATTCAACCAAATACAGATATTAAAAATGGATTCTTTTAGTGCTTTGTCATATAATTTTTACAAACCATGCATTCATGTATGGCTTTTTGTACTAGAACTTATCTTACTCTTAAGGTAAAGAGGTGGAAAAGTATTTAACTTTAAATCTGATCGAAATGGATGGATCCTCAAATAAGTATATTTAAGTACTGTACTTCGGAGACTTCTGTTACTCATTGTGATCATCTTCCTGAGTTTAAAAGAAGCCAGGTGAAAGTTCTGTCTCTGCCATTTGGAGAACCAAGCATGTAAACATAATACAGTGATATCTCTGTTAGTCGGAACAATTGGTGCAGAGCATTTCCGGGAGTGAGAGATTTCCAGGTAATGAGACAACTCTTTCAATGCTGGAAAAAATTCCTCTTCTCTGGAATTTTCTGGGTACCGGGAAAAGTTTATTGGAATTTCCAGAAATTGCACGTTACATCATCTCTCGAACCCGGAAAGAAATCCCCCATCCCCGGAATTTATCCGGGTACTGGAATTTTCTTGGAATTTTTTCAGAATGATTCAGTATTTCATCTCTTAACCCTTAAGCCCCAGGTTAGGGTGCCCCTGGCAGTAACCCCCACTCGGGGGTAAATTGAGAAAAATCAACTTTAACAAAAATAATTTTTAACCTTTTTAAATGATAAAACACTAAAAAGTAAGTAAGAAAAACTATATACAATCTCTCCTCAACTTATGGCAACCTGTACATATGACGGCCATGGTTATAAAAAATATTTTTCACATTACATATTTTCAAGTCCCGACGTTAGTGATAGCGCTGTGTACAGGTGCTCCTCTACTTACGAACGAGTTACATTCCTGAGGCTTGTTTGTAAGTTCAACTTTATTCATGTAGATACCAAACATATTGTAAAAAATGAAAAGATTATGGATATTTAGTACAGCTATACCCTTTAATACAGCCTTAAAACCTGGCTCACTCTTCTCCTCTTAGGTAATGTTTGTTCTATCTGGGAATTTCTTCAAAATAATCCAATCTCATCCACGTTAAACACCTGTTCTGGCAGGTAACCCCCCTCAGTGATGATGTTTGTATCTCTGAAAGTTTGTAAGTTGAATGTACTGACAAAATTTTCGTTTGTAACTCCCTTTAAAATGGCTGGCAAGCATAAAAGTGAGAGTTCTCGTGGTGCTGAGAAGAAAAAGAGACGCCCATTTTAGAATTTCTATGTATTATTTTCGCTTTTTCAACTTACAACCTGGTCGTCGGGACGGAACCCCGTCGTAAGTCGAGGAGAGACTGTATTGACCCTCAAGAAACTTCCCTGGCAGCGCTGAAGGAGGGAGGGAGATAAGGGGACAGTGTTGTTTTGACAGCTGATGCTCGTGGTCACCTTCACACTTACCACCTATGTTTAGCTTGTCTTTTGTGTCCGACATGGCCAGTAATGCATATATTTACTAATCATAAAACTTATATTTTACTTGCATTATTTTTCATAAGAAGTGCTTGGCAACACACACCAGACGGTCGCCAGGCTATCTGGCCGTCTTTGTGTTTGGTAGAGCAAGTAATGCAGGAAATAATCATAATTCCACAAATAAATACATTTATAACATAATCATGGCATTATTTTCCAGTAATACTTCACTGTAATACAACTGCACTACTTTAAGCAATATTACTTTGATACAACATGATAAAATGGACAAACAATGGAAATAAAACAAACAAAATTACGTAGGTAATTACGTTCAGGAAGCTTCCCTGTGGCCGAGCGTGTGGCGTGACAGGCAAATTTCCTGTCAATGAGCTCGATTTGCATCTCTCAAACCCAGAAAAAATAACCCATCTCCCGGAATTTTCCGGGTACCAGGAAAGTTTTCTCAGCATTTTCCAGAAAATGTGTCCCTCGGAAAATTTCAATTCTGGCTTTTGGAGAGTTCCAGTCAAGAAGGATTCCAGCTTACGGAGATATTACTATATGACTTAAGACAAAAATCTTCTTTTGACTCCATTATCATCTTTTTGTATGTTGTGAATGATTGATTGCAATTATCATCATTTAGTATTGTACTGCACTGTACTGTACTGTACTGAAATTTTATTCAGTGTGTGAATGGAGAAATAAACAGAATATAAATAGCGTTCAGCTTCCATTCTGTAGTGTGCTTTTCTATTATATTTGAAGTAATAATTCATTGATTGCCTGAAAAGTTAATCCAGAAATGTAAGATACCTTTGCTAAAGGTATTATTGTAAGCTGTTAAACATTACCAAAATACTGTTATGGGGTTGGAGATCCCATTACACTTATACTGTACAGTATGTAACCATGGTTCAGCTAACCTCATATGTGGGGGCAGTTCTGCAGAAGGCATCAGATTCAGGTTAAAGGAATAATATTCTTATAGTTCATAAAAAATTTTCCTTCACAACAATTTGCATTTATTTGGAAACAAATGTTAAGTATCATAACATATTTAGTAGTGTCAAAATCGAATAAAATACCTTTGGTAAATGACAACTGTTGGTGGTATAACACTTTTTGTAACTATACTGGTAATTGCAAATTTGTAATTAGAATAAATTTATCATTTTTAAATGAGTAACCTAATAATGTTTTAATTATTTCCTTGTACAGAATCATCAAAATTCAGCTTTATGATTTATGCTTGTAATTGAGACCACTTTAGTTTGAGGACCCAGCAGAGTTACTATGGTTGTACCAGTACCTTGAAATTACGTATGTCAGTTGTGTTGCCCAGTGCCAATTGGAAAATTTTTTAAGAGTTAAGAATAATGGTGTTCAAGTTATTACAGGTAGAAAGCTGCCACTGAATGAGTGCTACTCTTACACTCTCATTACATATCTTGAGTACAGTATTATCAACTAAACTACATGTTTAATGGATTGCAGCTGTCGATTTTTAAAGTCAACATATGCACTGTTTGAAGAATTTTCCATGGTTAATTTAACACCTACATTTATTAATTAAATGTTTTGTTAGTTTTCATGGACAATTAACATGAATGAAAATAAATTTTGAGAGGATATGTTTTTAGGAAATGAAAGTTATAACTATTTTAGAAAGTGAAAGAAGGTTGAAAGAGAGTACAGTAGAAAGTCTAATTAAAGCAATCCAATTTAAGATTATCTGTTTAAAGTGACACCTACAATTAAGGACATCGTTTTAATTTAAAGCGAATCTTTCCTATTTTGCGCGAGTCAATCTGGCACATCATATTTTAAATTTTGCGCCTAATGTTTCTCTGGGCACGCTACACTGTCCTAAGGGCAAAGCTGTACTGTATGTACTCAAAATAATGTATTAAATGATCACTAAAATGTTTGTTAAGTGCAAACTATAGCATTAATCATTGTCTTATAAGAATTCCAGCAATGTAAATTATATTCTCTCCAGTCACTTCTGTGACATTTTATAAACAAAGAACAAAAACTCAATCTAAAGGAGATAAATAAACAGATAAATACTTTGCTAGACCTTTGGCACAACTGTCAAACATGTCACTGTCCCCTCCCTCCCTCCCTCTCTCCCTCCCTCCCCAGCCAGGGTTTGGTGGTTATAGGCTTACAGTTTTTATCTTATATAATATCACAGACTAAAGTTAGGAGAATATAATTTGCATTGCTGGAATCCTTGCAAGATAGCAAATAATTTGAATATAAGCGTTATATGTTTTGCACGAGAGATAAAAATTTTATCCCTTTTCACGTCCCATAATTTTAGCTGTGTTGATTTATGAGTGTTTGTTTTAACGTAATATTACAAAAAACAATATTTTGTTTATTCTAGGAGATGAGCTGAGGTGCATCTGGGTAGACTCTCAGTCTTTTTAGTATTTTGTGTTTCTCTCAAGTACCAAACTAAATTATTCCATTGAAACAACACTTCGATTTACTGCGAATTCGGTTTAAAGCGACCTCTCTTGGAATCTATCTCATGTTATATCGACGTTCTACTGTAAATTTTTTATTTAGAGTAAGATGTGTGAAACCTGATGCAAGATATACTGTAGTTGTCTTTGAACAATCTTATGCAATAGTGACACATTCATTGCATATTACTAAGGATGATCAGAGGCAAAGTAGCATAGTAAATGAACAAAGTCCAGTACAGATGATGGGGTAATAGGTGGGTGTGGTGTGGAGAAAATGGTGACGATGTGAAATGTTAATAGCAGCAGTAATTTGTGCTGATAATATTCACATTAAAATTAACTAATGCATGGTATAAACAAAAAGGAAATAAATGTCCTAATCACAGGTCGGCATCACCGGGCTAGGAAGAGTCGAGAAGGTGCGTAAAGTGGCCTGTGTGTGAGGCAGTGGGGTGAGGTTGGCAGTACGAGGCACACAACACTGATCTCTAGGCAATATGAGGTACAGGACAATTTTTTTGTTATGTTACTATTTACATTATTTACTATTATAATTACTGCCTCCAGTAATTGATCATGAATCTGCTGATGGGCAAGACCCGTACTATACTTGCACTTGGGGGTTGGGGGATAAAAACAGATGGTGAGGCACGCGAAGTTCAAGGGTGAGATCCCAACATCACAAAAACTGAAATTCTATTGAGAACAGAGACTGGGAGGCTTGCATGTGTGAGCGAGTGAAAGATAAATGCCTGCAGTACTTGATAACAAAATCAACCTTGGCCCTTGTGGTGATTCAAATAGTACTGCAAAATTGCTAAACATCAAATGATGTGAACCAAAGCCCAATAAACACATGTCAAATGATGTGAACTATAGCCTAGTACTGTACAGTATAATCAAATGTGGTTATTACAGGTTTGAGCTGTTTGTTAGGTTTTGTGTCATTACTTTCATTGTTACTCGTATGTTATTATGGAAAGCTTTCATTGACTTATATACAGTACAGTATTCATTTTTCAACTAGAAAGACACTCCCCATTTGTCTTCTAATGAGGCCCACATTACAGTATGTAGTGTATGGTATTATGAAAAGGAATTAGAAATAGCCGTTTTTTTCTAAAAACCAGTATTTGTGATATTGCTCGAATGTGACGATCAGCAATGCTACCTAGGTATGTTAATTCCTAGCCAATTCGCCAGGCCAACATACAGGCAATTAAAACATCTAATAATTACTTAATAAGTAATATTAGGAGGACACTTCGCTACCTGGCATTTACCGGTAATTGCTATTTTGAAAGTCCCTCCTTCAACCAGCCTCCATCCGCACTGCGAAGCTCATCTCTTGCCTCAGAAAGAGCAGTAATTAAAAGTCAACTCTCGAGGGGTGGAGATAGGTGGGTTATGGACGTCGCATTCGAGCTATATCACAAAAACTGGTTTTTAGAAAAAAACGTCTTTTTGTTCAATGCTCTGAATGCGACGATCAGCAAGAATACCCGAGTAGGAGGTGGAGAGGGAGGTGACTTTGCATACAAGGCTTCGCTGACTTAGGTCTTGATTATATTATAAATTATTTTGAAAATTTCCAAAATTAAGAACATTTACCGGAAGGTAAAATGTTAATTTACTCAAAAAGGATATACTCACTTTATTCTAATGAGGAAGAAGGTCTTGGTAGTGGAGATTGAATAGATGGGGGAGGGGAACCCAGCACCACCCCATTTGAAGCATCTCTCAGAGATAGATGAAGATAGCTGTCTTTGAAAGTTTTTGAAGATCTCCAAAAGCCCATTTCCTTGATCTGACTGAGACTCATGTGCCGCAGAAAGGCCACAGACCCTGCATACACTATTTCCTAGTGTCATGTGCCAAAAATTTCTTGCCAGGGTCTGCTTGATTCACTAATTGAGATAAGGATTTTGTCAATTGACTAGGAGATAATTTCTTACCATCCCTTGATGAGAAAACATAAGGGCCTC